TGACTTAAAATATTTTTGCCCTTCCTTGCCTTTAAAAGAGTGTCCTTTGCTGTGCTGATGTTGCTACATGCCTTACTTCTTGCCCATCTCACGGTGCGAATTTTTTTCTAAGCTCTATACTAAAAATTAAATCTGTTAAGAAAAAAGAACTAAATAAAATGAATACAAAACGATCAGCTTTAAAAAAGGACGCGTAACTGGAAAAACCGAATGAAAAAGAATGTTAACAACAATTACTTTCTCACATCCAACCCAGTTCTGCGGAATCAAAATCAACGTTGAGTTTAAGCAAGCGAATGAGCCAATTGGAGTAAAGTGCCATGCAGATTTAAATTTTTCCCACTTGTGACGAATGCAGCTATCGAATTTTTTTTGCGTGCTAGCATGCTAGTTAACATTCGTGTCAGTCAGCTGTTGGCTCTCACGCTGGCCAATAGAATCTTCCTGCCTATTCTTGGTAGCCAGCTATAGGCTCACACTCTGGCCAGTACAATATGGCCGCAAACTACATGAAAACTGCCGTAGAAGCATGAAAAATCGATTATTTCCACTATCGATGGGAGTTGGGAAATGCAAAGTCGGTCTTGGCCTTCCCGCTAACTTGGAGCATGTGCATGTAAATTTTGGTGCAAATCCGTCAAAAATTGCGACCGTGCATTCGTTACACACACACACACACACACACACACACACACACACACACACACACACACACACACACACATCCTGCCTTTTATAGATAGAGATTTTGTTTAATCATCGAATGTTCTTGCTTTCAGATATTTTCAATGAAATGTTTACCTTCAAAAACTGTTTATAATTATATTTTCTATATATAGGAAAGAAGGAGGATACGGTATAAGAATACAATTCTGGTCTCTTAAATAGGAAAAGATTATGTAGACGTTTCTTTTATGACGACACTGAAAAAGGAGTTGTATCTGCAAAAAGCAACAAGATATATAATAGCTGATCTCGGTTATTCTTTACTTTATTATAGTTGATTCAATTCTAATGATATAAACATATATTTACAGAGCTCATATTTCAATGGTATATAATGGCTTTCGAAACAAGTGGCCATTTTTCATTCTGTCTCTAGTTAAAGATCTCTCGATTCTTGCTTTTGTTAACGACATTTACCAGCTTAACAATCGTAGACCTTATAACCCTCAGTTCAGTATTAAGTCAAGCCTCTGGCGACTCGAAGACCAAAAAGAAATCGCTTACCGCTTCCACGGGGTTAGATATAAAAATAGAAATGTTTCATTTATCAAAGCTAGTGACGTGAACCTAATTCAGTGAAAAAAAGGCATCAATTCAGTGAGATATTCCGTGTGTGTGTGTGTGTGTGTGTCGAGCTGAATTACTTGAAAGGAAATGAATAATGAGAGAAACGAAAAAATGCAGCAGACCGAAACGAAAACATTGCGGGACAAACAAATTTGCTTCTTCTACAGATTTTGTCTGACTTTTTGAGGTGAGTAATTATCATTACTATACACTGATTTCATTTGTCCAGTATCTTTATCTTGATTGTTATAGTCGACAACATTTCGACCGCTACATTTTCTAGCCTTCATCATTTCTCTTTTTTGATACTGGACTCTCCCGTCAGTTTTCCGATGTATGAGGGTCAAGACACCTACACATATGCATTGATTATAGTGGTGAAGGCTTTGTGCAGAAGTAACCATACTTTTTAAAGAGCCGGGTACAGGGATCTAGTGCACAACGTGCCACAAGGTCCCCAAACGACCCTAGATCAGTTGCCATCCAAGGTTATATAACCCAGACTGTACTGATGTTTACCCATAGCTGGGGAGAAAAGAAAAAGATTCATACCTTTCGAAAGGGTATTACCACGTAAGTAAATGTAATGGATGCGACTGGAATTCAAACTCGGCTCTCTAATTCCTTATAATTAAACCAGTACCTGTTTGTTCTTTTATACTAATTGAAATTGTAATATTTGCCGTTTCCTCATAAGGAAACATTCGGCATTCATTGGCGGAGCAGCTAGAACTACATTCGACTGAAATTTATAAAATGTTACACTGAAAATAATTTTTTTTTCGGAAAATACGTTTCTGAAATCCAGTCGCTTATTTTTGTGTTTGATGGCTGATTTCTAGATTTGTCTTTTTTTTAGGTACCTGCGGAAAGTCAGCGTTTTATTTCTGCCACTTTTCTCTCGTCGAGTTGTACGCCTTATCCATTTTAGTTGCTGCTGCTGTTGAATGTACAGTTATTTGTGATTTTGTAGCGCCAGTACACACGTTTCTAGGAAGGATGATCCTCACTAAGATATCCAGGTTTCATTCGCTTGAGGCCATTTTTAACCATTGATGTGAGTAAGCAGGTACAGCGGAGAGTTTAAATTCTTTTTTAAACAATTTCCATCTATGAATGGCTTCCATATCTAATTTATGCATCTATGAATGGCTTCCATATCTAATTTATGCATCTATGAATGGCTTCCATATCTAATTTATGCATCTATGAATGGCTTCCATATCTAATTTATGCATCTATGAATGGCTTCCATATCTAATTTATGCATCTATGAATGGCTTCCATATCTAATTTATGCATCTATGAATGGCTTCCATATCTAATTTATGCATCTATGAATGGCTTCCATATCTAATTTATGCATCTATGAATGGCTTCCATATCTAATTTATGCATCTATGAATGGCTTCCATATCTAATTTATGCATCTATGAATGGCTTCCATATCTAATTTATGCATCTATGAATGGCTTCCATATCTAATTTTCGATCTGAAAATATTATTTAAGAACATGAACTTTTACGCTAATGTTTTTGGTTTCGTAGCAACTTGCGGTTTTGGGCAAAAATAATCCTAGGGGGGTTAATTTTAAGATCAATTTCCTTATTTTCTATTTTGAAGTGTTTAATATTTACTAAATCCAAATTCTGTATTTTTATGTTGGATTCAGTGTAGGTACCATCGCTACTTTCATTCTAATTCCATATCATAGTTACTGTTTTGGTTTGGTTTGGTTTGGTTTACGGCATATCAACTTCAATGGATTACTTAATGCCAACAAGATTTTCATTGCTGTACTATTTTTTTCAAAGAGTATTTATGGTATTATTTTATTTCCAAAAATTATTGTTGGTATTTTTTTTTTCAAAACGTATTGCTAGTAATATTTTTATTTTAAAAAATATATTACTGGTAATTTTTTTTTTTTCAAAAATGTATTGGTGGTAATATTTTTTCCAAAAAAGTATTGCTGGTAATCATTTTTTTCTTAGAATATTTATTGCTGGTAATAATTTTTCAGAAAATTTATTACTGATATTAAAACCCATTTTTACACAAGTTTGGGGTTAACTATTTGCTCATAGATGGGACTCTAACAGGAGCTACCACCCCGGCTCAGGGTGGGCCTGGGTACACCAGAAATTAAGAGGTGGTTCTACGCACAAAATCTCCTGATCACAGGCCTTGCTCTTGGATGAAGTCTATCGTCTTATCCAGGACGCCGATGTCATACCTAGGACGATTACGGTTTTGGAAAGTTATAGTTATTTTCTAAGCGTAGCTTAGATGTGGCACAAGGCCGAAAGTATGGGGTACCTGGTGAGGATCGAACTCACTTTTTAGTCGTAACTGATCTAGCGAAACAAGCTTGCTAACCATTACACCACGCCGAGGTGCCCTGTTTTGGAAAGTTATATCTTGAGTCCTATTTCTTCGAATAGTTGGTGGAGAATGTTGCTTTTCTGTTCAAGATCATTGTTATCCGAAACATAAATACCTACGACATCAACATATCCCCCCACACAATCTCATCTTATTTACTTTGACATCGAGAAGTGACTGACATACCTTGTTTCATTTCTCAAAGAAAAATAAAACTCTTTTCGGGATTTATTTTTTTTTGCAGCTTTTATATTACTGACAAAATCGAGTAGATTTGGTCTAGTTATTTCCACGACTGTTCTCGTGGAGAGTTTGTAGACTGAGTATGGCTAAATTTCCATTAACCTTAGAATACTCTACTATATATATATATAGATGGCTACTCGTATTCGAAAGCAGCTAGCCAATCCGTGCTGCAGACGGTTTTTCAAACGCATTTTTGTTTATTCAACACCCAGAGTCCTCCTGTGGTTTATACTGCAACTATGCTGAGCAGACCTTAGTTACAGTTTCTGGGAAAGAGCACGTTATCTGCAGTGAGAAACTATATATATATATATATATATATGTGTGTGTGTGTGTGTGTGTGTGTGTGTGTGTGTGTTTGTTTGACCAACACAAGGACTGACCAAAATTCATGGTAAAAAATAAAAAAATTAAAAAAAATTAAAACTATAAAGTTCATTTTCTCCATCAAGTCATTCATTTCTGTAGTTTACTACTATTAACAAGCATAATTTTTTTCTCCTTATGATGGCCATGTTGGCCGAAACTAACCGAGGTATCTAACTGAAATAATACAGACGAAAGAATATTAATATACAACTCAGTGTGCCTGAAGTTTTTAATTTTTTAATATTTTTTATTGTTCAATACATATGTGTGTGTGTGTGTGTGTGTGTGTGGAGCGAGAGCTAATGAACCAAGTGTCTCTATGGACTGATTTTCCCCACCCATTTATTTTATATCAACATTTTTCGACCTGTCAGTTTATTCCAACCTTTTCTTCCACCTTTCTTGGTCTCATTGATCGATTTATCTTTTTACAGCTTATCAACACTTTGTGGGTTATTTGAAACGTACTCAACTGAAATTCGAACTCGGATTATTTCATTTCTCATCTGATTTGCTAGCCATTGCACCACCCGCACATACTCTTTCTCCCGAAAAAAAAATATCCTTTTATCCTTATCTACATTCCTTTCCAGATTTGGGCCACACCCTTCTCCATGAATATAAAACATTCTAAACAATCTATACATTAAGAAATCAAATTTAGAGGCAGATGCTGAATATTTGTAATTCTAAACAATTAAAGGCGTACGGCAATATCACATAGAAACAGCAGTTTTCATACGATCACCGAAGTTAAGCAACGTCGATCCTGGTCAGTACCTAGATGGGTTAACACTTGGGAATATCAGGTGCTTAGATATACGGTGCTTTCACCCGTAACAACTTGGGATTGGAAATCCGAAAATACAGTTCCAATCAATGTCGGGTTAATTATATTCAGTTACACGCAAATACCCTTGAAAAAGACATGAATCCTTCTCTTCTCCCCCCACCACCTACGGGCTAATTTTTATATTCATTGATCGTTTTTCATACTAATGTTTACACAGTACAAGTCACAAGAGCCACTCAAGGTAGCGGGTTATTGTGTGGTGTTGCATGAGCGAGAGGACAGGTAAGAAGTGATGTTCCTGAGTTTATATAGTAAAGATAACGGCTAAACCTTTACTTGAAGAGGGCAAGACTGATGCTATTAATGAAATGGGTAACCATTGTTCGGACTAAAATCGACCCCGCTATGACTAAAGATTAGGATATTAGTCTCATTTTGATCTATTCATTATTAGTGAAAAAAATACGTAATTGTTATGTCATGGCTCTACTTAATATGTATTTGTTAATCCATCAGTATCCGCACATAGGATAGTGATTATCCGCGCGAGAAATGAGATTGGTGCGCCGAGTAAAAATTGCAATCAGGGCCTTGCGTTCGCTTTCAGGAAGATTGAGTCCATTTCTACCCCAACCAGTTATGGGTTAATACCAGCGTAGAATTTATTCTCTTGCGTTGTTTAGCATTAGGTCTAGCAGGAGGACACATCTGCATTTAAAATCGATAAAGTGTTAATCTCGTTAAAAAAAAAACAAAAAAAAACAAATTTACATCCATACATAACATGGTGAGACTGTGAACTTCTCCACCAAGAAGTAAAACTTACAAGACGTACATTATCATCATCCTCATTATTCCATCAGGATAGCTCGAATTATTTTCCCAATAATGTAATACTGTCAAAAAAGCATATCAGAAAGAAAATAACCTTTCATAAAACGGTTCATGTGTTAGTAATTCTTGCCTCGAAAGACGCCCTATGATTTCGTGAGGTCAGACGGTTTTTGCATAAAATCAAATAAAGTTCTCGTGCTGAAATTTACATGAATTGTTAATTGAAATTTTGCTTTGAGCTAATCTCATTTCTCATATATTTACAGCTATTATCCATAAGCACACGCCAACATGTATTCATATTTGTGTGGGTGTTTGCATGCGCAATTGCATTGTTTTAATTATATGTATAGTTAAGAGGGAATTGTCTACTATTGACAAAATGTTGCCGTGAAAAATCGAAAACGCGTTGAGGAAAAGAAAAACCGAAACGAAAAGAAATAAATATTTTTGGATAATAAAAAAAATAGTTTTATTTTATTTACATATAAAAATATAAAATTATTGCTATTCAAGAAAAAACGATAGCCACGCAGACTTGTATTACAGGGAAGTCTATACGAGTAAATAAACAATTTAAGAGGGAGTGACTAAAGATTCAAACCATTTTGGCATTGAGCACTTTTCTCCAGTTACCTTTTTAGCATACTTCCTTGGGAGCTGATGACTTATTTTTCCTTTTACTAAAATATATATGGCTCTGGAATAAGGAACTTTGAAGACATGGTCTTTTCGAGCACTCTTTTGCTTAAAGAATTACACTTCTTTGACAGGGTCCTATTCTTTCCCATGCTAACAAGCACACTTCTGATTTCTAATGTCATTTTTTTTTCTTTTTTATATTTGAATTAATGGTCATTCTTTTCCATCTTGGCCGTATGGGCTCCTCTACACGAGTGAGTTTAGTTGCTGTGTGGATATCATGTGCACATCTGCTACCGTCATTGTAACTATCTTAGGCCTGATGAGTTAAAATAAAAATATCCATTGCACAAAAAATAAATAAATAAACCGTTGCTGAGTGAATGATGAGGGCTTGCAAGCGCATGAAACTGTTGTTATAAATAACCAAGAGTGGTCTCTCCTTGTTTTATTACCCTCCTCTTTGTGAGAGCTATTTCTGTTTACTGGGACTATAAAAGGTCACTGTACGTGAACCTTGTATTCTCAGTTGAATAATGCTTTCTTAAACTTTTGTCATTACAATTATTAATAGTTGTTGGTCAATGTTCGTGTTAATGAATAATTAAGAAAATAAAATTACTTATATAAAGTTACCTCCCTTGATTTCTATCCCTTCACGTTTAACGATTTCTTTTAGATATATTGGGGTCTCCAATTTTTATTTTACTTTATTTCTTTTTTTTTTATCCCCACCCTGTAATTTTGTAACTTGGATCCAGATCTATACCCCAATAATAGAGTCTTATTATATAATTATTAAATAATTAATATACTATATAACGTTGCTTCCACGAGACAATTTTTTTTTTAAATAGTAGCGATCGTATAAACAGTTGATCGCCATTATAAGTACCTGAAGATTTATAGAACGTGAAACTTCGAATCGTATTTTCGACGTAAGGTATTACATTTATTAATATCTACTTTATAGGTCTGTATTAGCACATTGAGCAGTTTTGTTGACACTAAAAATTAAATATTTATTTGCAAATTTATATATGCGCGTGATCGCACACAGATACAATTGTATGTATCTATATTTATTTAAGTTATATATATATATATGTTCTTTTTATAATATCTTATAATAAAATATAATATATATATATATATATATATATATATATATATATATGAAATTCTACATAAAAGCTTTTATTTTTCAATAGTTTGATTGTATTTCTTCAGTATTTCATATGTATTTCAATCATAGAAATAATAATAATAATAATAATAATAATAATATATTGCTCTACTTTGTATTGAGTACTTTTTTAAAGTAAATGCTGCGCTGCGAAAAGTGGATTTTTACTGCATCTGTTGTTTCTCTCATTTATATATATATATATATATATATATATATATATATATATATTACGACAAAAATCTAGCCATTGTCGTTTTATCAGGAAGGTCACTTCTTGGAGAAACAATATAAGTGTGCGTCAGAAAAAGTCTTTGACAAGAGCCTGACATACCGAAGTCTTGTCAGTGAAATTTGGTAAAAAGAAGTCTTAAGAAGCCGTTAATGGTTTTGCAAGCATGAAGTCACATGTGATTATGACTTAGGGTTTAAGCATACTGGCGTTGATCATGACGGATTAGTCGGTGGCCCGTAGACATAGTATAGTGTCTACCGGGATTATCTTGCTAGATTAATTACGAGTAAGTAGTGGGTGCCCCATGATTTCGATCTTGTGCCACATCTATGCTAAGCTTAGGAAATCATCATGACTGATTATGTAGTTCCTACCAGAAATTGTAACGATGGTCCAGTGAGTATAGTTGAAGTACAAACTACAACTTGGCAATGAGAGTGTTGAACAAACATAAATTCTTGAGAGTCGGTAAGGTGTGAATAACCGGTCATCTAAATAACTACACAGCAAATTTTCTGTCTGCCCGTGTATCTGAAACCCCTTTAACTTGCAACACACTTGCCCTACATAGATATATTATACATTATTGGAATAAGGATGTTCCCAGCATTCCTCGTCATATAAGAGCGATATCACAAAATAATACAGCACTCTGTTTTTTGTTTTTAATGAAAGATACTGCTTACGACCATATGTTAATCACTGTAAACTATAAGCTTGGATATACGGTTGGTGTAATGAATAAAGGTTCAAAATTGGAAATCCGAGAGCCGAGTTCCAATTCAAGTTGTGTCCGTTATATTTAATATGGGTCCAACTCCCCACCTACGGGTTAATTAATTAGATTAGGCGTAAAAAATTAATCCATCAAAATAGATTTTGGAAGATATTTGCTGTTGTGAAATCAGTTTACATCTCCTTCACTGACAAGATTCTCCTTGTGGCGTTTACTTTCATATTTGTAGTCATTCTCCATCGTTTCGGATTACATCTGTAGCACCAGGTACTTCAGATTTCTTTTGGGTTTTTTTTTGGTCTGGGGCGAAACCCCCTTTCCTATTAATTTTCTTACTCTCAAAATTCTTAAAACGATTTCTTCTGGTTCTTATCTTACCATTTTTTTACAATATTGACTACGTTCTGTTATGTCTGTTAAATAATATTGCAATTTCCAACATTGTATTTCCTATTACGTTCACCGGTTTCACTTTTCACGTCAAATATAATCTTACGACCCATGGCATTATATATGTGAAATAAAAAAAAAATTATCAATAACTCTTATAAATATTTATTTACATTACAACGGACAACTCTCGAGGAGTATTAAAAAAATTCACTTTACCAAACGAGATGCTACTAAACAAACAGAAGCTATAAGCTGAGATTCACATGCTATATTTATCATATAAATTTATTTTGAATATCTTATCAAAATTAATTTCTTTCTCTCTTTTCCTCTCTCCCCCTCTCTCTCTCTCTCTGTATGTATGTACATATATATATATACATATGTATATGCGTGTGTGTGCGTGTGAGTGTGTGTGTGTATATATATATATGTATTTTCGTATGAAGATACAAACACACACATGCACACACACACACACACTATATATATATATATATGTGTGTGTGTGTGTGTGTGTATGTATATATATACATATGTATGTATTTATGTATATGAAAGAAGTTGGAGCCAGACAGAAACAAATACAGGCGTAGGCAAAGCCAATTACAGTAATCACATGTATTTATGTTAACCTCTGGTGACGGAAGTCAATCTTCAGTGCCAGACAAAAGCCAAGATTTCAATAAATTTAATTAAGGTGGGACATATTCCGGAAAGTTAGTCGAATTCTAAAAACCCTGTCTGTTAGACAATTTTTACATACAAAGTATGAAAGTCGATTATATTAATCAATATTTTTGGTAAATATTCTTAATAATTTAGTCTTTACTCAAACCAAATGTAAGACATTATGAATAAATATCTTCATGTTAAAACAAGCTTTCAAATGTCGAGATTTAATTCTGAAATTGGTTGGCTGCATCGTTATCTGTTTTTTGATTAGCGACATATCAACACCCTCCTGTGTTATGCCAAAATCTAAAGACTTCGTA